ACTCTGTGCCAACATCCACCCCATGGCAGTGAGTTTTGAGTGAGTGGCAAAGTGAAATTTCTTTATGGCTCCTCTAGGTCTCTGTAACTCCCCCCAAATGATTGGGTGGAGTCATGCCAATAGGGTGTGTAAAACACCGATCCAGGGGATCAGTGGGCTTCGCCATTCCCCTGGGTCTGAGACAGCTCTCCCAGCAGCTGGAACAGAACGAGTCCTGTGATGGTCAACATCGAAGAGCCCCAGCCAAGCATGTGCAAGAGCCCTGCCTCAACGTGAGAGGAGACACATCAAGGCCCAGCAGAAGTGCTGTGCCACTGAGACCAGGGACTGGTGACCCGGAGCAACAGCCACGCTTCCCGCCCCGGGAGGTAGAGGCCAAGGGGCAGCCCTGTGACTGCGAGGCTGAGGGCCCAAGGAAGCGTAGCTATGGACCCATGACTGTATCCTTAACGTTTTCGGATCCTGGCTCGTGGTGACCTGTTAACTCCCCTCAGAAACCATCACCATGAACTTGGTTTGGGAGTTCTGTGTGTTCTGTGTCGCCATGGCCACGGATCACTGAGCCCAGCAGAGGAGGACAGTGCCCTGGGACAAAGAGCAAGTGTCAGAACAGAGCAGACACTGGGCAGAGCGTGGAGGCATGTGTGACCCCTGCCCAGTGGCAGTCCGACTCGGCTGGTGTGGAGTTGGACCCCTTTCTTTGTGCAGCCAGAGGGGGTCGGACGGGGCTCCTACCCTGGGGTCTCAGTGATGATTTGCAAATGGGATGGGAGACTGAGAGGGGGAGGCCTGATTCAAAGGTCACATTGAGTCCTGGCTTTCACCATATGGTTCTCAGCGGTTTCCTCTTCCCTTGATTGCTGGTATCACTAACATTCTTTGGCGTCATGGTTATGACATGGTATGCAAATAAAACGGAAAATAAACAAAGAAACCCACCGTGAGAGGAATGTTTCAACTCAAGGACAACTCTCTGTTGTCTGAGCAAGAGCGGTGCTTAGACTGAAGAGTGCCCCCGACTGTGTCCATGGCAACGGACCCACCTGACTCCCTCTCCACCCAGACAGGGTTTTTTCAAGTCAGATTTTTGGTTCAACTATAGAGTAAAGTTATGAACCCCAAGCAGATTTTGTTTTGAACTTTGCTGTTTGAGTCGTAGAAAGTTCTAGCTTAGAGCCGTTTGACCATTGAGGTATCACTGTACTGAAATGCTGAAGGCAATCTTCCCAGTTCTCTAACCTTTTCCCCAAAGAGTTTCTGGTCGCACGTGACATCCTGGGTTTGTGAGTGCATTGACAGCAGTTTGAACCCACTAGCAGCTCCACGGGAGAAATATGAGACTTTTCTGCTTCCATAAAGGCTTAAGCAGGCGTCCTCAAACTACGGCCCGCGGGCCGCTGAGGACATTTATCCGGCCCGCCGGGTGTTTTTGCCCCG